TGCAAACTACACTAAACTAGGATATAAAAGTACAAGTACAAAATGTGAGATTGGGGCCTAACACCAACACCCCCCCTGAGGCGTCAATCGAACTTATGGCGGAGAAGGAGGAGCGCAGAGCCCCATGGCGCCAAGGAGACGATGGTGGGGAACCTTCCCAAGGGGCTTGGTGAACAGGTCAGCCAGGTTGCAGTCAGATGCCACGTATTCCACCTTCAGCTGCTCTTGTTGCACAAGGTGACGAATGAAGAAGTGCCGAAGTTCAATATGCTTGGTGCGGGTGTGATACACAGGGTCTTGAGAGATGTGGATGGTACTCTGGTTGTCACACCAGAGGGTGGGGGCTGACTGAGGGAAGCCAAGCTCTTGGAGTAGGAAGGTGAACCAACGGGCCTCCTGAGCAGCCATGGTGCCTGCGTAGAGCTCCGCCTCACAGGAGGAGAGGGAGACTGCAGACGACCTGGTGGAGCGCCAACTGACAGTTCCGCTCCCGAGGGTGAAGCAGTACCCCTGAGAGGAGCGCCGGTCGGTCTGGTCATCAGCCCAGGAGGAGTCTGTGTAACCTTCCAGGCGAGGAGGGGAGAGCCCACCGAGTGTGAGAACGTGGGACTTTGTGCCCTTAAGATAGCGCAGCACCCGCTTTGCTGCCTTCCAATGAAGATTAGTGAAGCGACCCGGGGCCACGTAACGAGAGAGAACATTGACTGGGTAGGCCAAGTCCGGTCGGGTGCACATCATGGCGTACATGAGGGACCCAACAAGTTCCGGGTATGGCTCAGAGCAGGCCTCTGGTGTGGGTACAGCAGGAGCTGTAAGGAGGTGTTGCAGCGGCAGCGGGGTGGCAACAGGTGTGCACAGCTCCATCTCAAACCGCTTGAGCACATTGTCGATGTAGAACTCCTGGGAGAGTGAGATGGTGCGAGCCTTGCGATCACGAGTGATCTCCATTCCCAGGTAGTGCTTGAGGTCACCAAGGTCTTTCATCTGGAGGGCCTTGCTCAGGGCTGCCTGGACAGAGGTCATTTGGGCCGAGTCCTTGGCAACGAGGATAAAATCATCCACGTAGACTAGGATGTAGAATGGCTCAGAATGACGACGGATGAAGAGAGTCGGGTCAGCAGTTGAGGGGTGGAAGTCCAGGGAGAGGAGGACTTCTTTCACCTTGTTGTGCCATTCGCGAGGGGCTTGTTTAAGGCCGTAGACGGGGCGATTCAGCTTCCAGACTGTGTTGGGAGGGAATTCTCCTGGGAAGCCTTCTGGTCTGTCCATGAACACTGTCTCCTTGAGACGTCCTTGTAGGAAAGCGGAGGAGGCATCCATGGATTTGATCTCAAAGTCTTCTCGAGCTGCAACATCCATGAGCGTTCGAATGGTGGGAGGTTTGGATGTGGGGGAGAAGATTAGGTCGAAGTCGCGGTACCGCTGCTGGGTGAAGCCCTTGGCTACGTAACGCGCTTTGAACACCGGTGCCTCGTCTGGGAGCTGTTTTACACGGAACAACCACTTGCCCCCGACGATGTTGACTCCTGGAGGTGGAGTCTCGTCATCGAAAGAGTGGTTGCGAGTGAATGCTGCAATCTCCGCGTCCATGGCAGCACGCCATTCGGCAGCATGAGGGCCTGAGAGAGCCTCTTGGACGGTGAGAGGGATAGGGATGGTCGGGTTCTCCGCGAGGTTGAGGGAGGGTGAGCCAGTGATATCGGGGAAGATGTGTGAGAGCTGAGGAATGACTGCATGGAGATCACACAGCTCCTCATGCCTGTCTTCTAGAAGGGTAGAGGGCACATCCCCCCCAGCAGGAGGAGGCGGTGTGATCATTGTGTATCGAAGAACCATTGCGAGTGGAAGAGCAGCGCGATGGGAGCGGGTGCCATGAGCCACCGGTGAGGAGGGCGGGGCAGGCGGTGTCGGAGAGGGTGACTTAGGAGGCTTGGGTGGGGGAATGGGCCGCCGGCGGTACGTGATCAGCTCGGGCGACTGTGGGAGAGCGGGTTCCTCTGTGGTGGGGGGAACTGGGGGAGGAGGTGGGGCCGGAGGGTGGGACCGCCGATGGTAGGTGATAGGTGCGCTCGGAGGGGGCGGCGCAGCGGGAAGTGAGGAAGGTGAGGGGGGGGGGCGGAGCAGCCGCCGAAGACACCGGTGAGGCCGGGTCAGAGACCTCAGAGGGAGATGGTGGGATGGCAGGAGAGGGAGGAGGTGAGGGGGCAGGAGCAGGCGGGAGGTCGGGAGGCGCGTCAAAGTCTGCCCACACGAGGGAGGGTGGATCAGGGAGAGGGTCCCGTCCCGAAGGGGAGTAGAATGGGCGGGTCTCATCAAAGACAACGTCGCGGCTCCTGACCAACTGTTGAGTGGAGGGATTGAGGAAGAGGTAGTCAGGTGAGTCGGCGTTGTGCCCAAGGTAGATGCACGTTTGAGTCTTGGGACCGAGCTTGCCACCGTTCTGGCGTCGAGCCTGAGGGTTGAGGAGGACATAGGCGGTGCATCCCCAAACGCGAAGAGAGCGAGCAGTGGGCGTTTTCCCGAGCCAGAGTGTGGTTGGAGTGGTGTCGGGAAGGTGCGGATGGGGGTAAAGGTTGTAGAGGAGGGCGGCGTGGTAGAGAGCGTATCCCCAGAGAGAGTGTGGAGCGTTGGAGTGGCTGAGGAGGCACCGAGTGATCTGCACTAGAGTGTGGTTGCGGCTCTCAGCTATGCCGTTCTGTTGAGGGCTGTCAGGGAGGGTGAAGTTTTGCTGGATGCCTTCGGAGGAGCAGAAGGCTTTAAGCTTGTCGTTGCAAAATTCACCCCCCCCATCCGAGTGAAGGCGCTTGACCTTGAGGTCAAAGGTGGTCTGTGCCTGCTTGACCCACGCCATGATGACCTCTGGAGCCTCAGCCTTAGTGTGGAGGAGGTGAACAGAGACGTATCGTGAGTGGTCATCCACGATAACTAGGAAGTAGCGATATCCACCTCGTGCAAGAACAGGGGCAGGGCCCCAGACGTCCATGTGCACTAGGTCCAGTGGTGCCGCTGCGATTGTGGGTGAGGCAGTGTGGGGCTGTTGGCGCAGTTTGCTCTTGGTGCAATCAAGGCACGTGGGAGCGGGTGAGTCAGGTGGTGGAGGAAGTGTGGCTGGCAGGCCGAGAAGAAGTTTCTTGGAGGCCATGTCAGCAAGCGTGCGGAAGTTTGGGTGCCCTAACCGATGATGATAGAGGATGGTCGGGTTGGAGAGGCTGCGACATGTGCATGGTGTGATGGGAGCCTGTGCTTGGGTGGTTGAAACCTGTGGGAGAGGAACGCGTAGCGTGTAGAGGCCGCTGCTATTGAGGGTGAAGCGGGCCAAGACCTTGTTGGTGAGTGGGTCAATGATGTCGCAGTGGTCCTCATTCTCCGAGAAGATGGTGCGTAGCCCTGCTTTCTGAATTTCTGTTTGAGCCACTAGATTGTGGCGTAGTGAAGGCACGCACATGCCAGTGACGGTGCCGGAAGGGAAGGCTGGGCATGGGACTGTGGAGGTGCCCTTGGCTAGGGTGGTGAAGCTGGAGTCAGCTCCCAAGAGAGGGATAGGTGCTGGATAGGGTTTGAAGGAGAGTGTCTCCTTGAGCACAGTGTGAGTGGCCCCACTGTCGAGTGTGAACTCTATGTACTGTGGTGCCTGTGATGAGTCGATGTACTGGGAAGTGGCTTCATTAATCATGGCAGTGCCAGGAAACAACAGGTTGATACGCACATCAACAGGAGCACTGTCACTAGCACTAGCCGAAGAGGGGTCCTGGACCTCAACGAGATTGGCCTTACGAGCGCGCATCCAGTTTGGCGGCTTCTTGTCAACCCCGTGGATGGCATACCACTCGTCGTCTTTCTTCTTGAAGCACGTGGCAAGGGGGTGGTTAGTGCCACCACACACTTGTCCCTTGCGGTTGCCATACTTGACGACGTAGGTGCACGGAGGAAAGCGGTTGCGCTGGAAAGGCGCCGAGGCAAGGGCTGCTGCAACACTTGCTAGGGGCATGGGAGCACGGATGGCGTATGCCTTGGCCTGAGCAGTGGAGTCTTTCTCGGCAGAGAGGAGTGCGGTGGAGACCTTAGCAAAGGTGAGGTCTTCCGCTGAGAGCGTGAGGAGCATCTTCCTCGTCACTTCATATGCCGAGGAGAGACCAACAAGAAGGGCGGCTGCAGGGGCTTGTTCGGGGAAGACTATACCCAGCTCCTTGAGTTCACCATGAATGGTCTGCACCTTGGCGATGTAATCAGCCATTCCTGAGCAGTCCTCAAGGCGGACTTGAAACATGCTGGGGATGAGAATCGCCACTCCGACCGCCGTCTTGTTCATGAACCGATCCTGGAGATACTTCCAGATGGCGTTGGAGGTAGGGTAGTTGTGGAACGTGTTGACAAGTTCGGGAGGGGTGGAGGCAATGAAGACGCTGATGATGGCAGCATCGGCCTTCTCCCACTTCCGGTACTTCTCAACAGCTTCTTCGTACGTCATCACGTCAGCATCACTTGAAGATTCGGTCGGTTCACGGGGAAGAGTGGGCTGTTTCCCCTTGCCACGGTTGAGGAGGACGTCCTTGAGGTCAAGGCCCTGCACGTCACGGCTCAGGAGGTGCTTGTCAACTCCGTAGCTCCACGCCTTGAAGTTGGAGCTAGAGCCATCGGCTTCAAGGCGGAGCGGGGTGATGGGGTTCGCCATGGTGGAAGACGAGAAAGCCATGGTGGAGACCCCTTAACTTCTCGCGCGGAGCGCCGCTCTTAAGTCACCAATAGGAACTTGAGGTTTGGGGTTTCCAAAGGAGATTTTGAAGAACCGGAGGTTTAGGGTTTACGAAGGAGAATTTGACTGAGACGCCAATTTAGTGTCAACTACCTACTAGTCCTATTCCCACACACCCCCCCACACACCACCCTCTGCTTCGCGGCTACGCTGCTGCTCGGCTGCGTTGCTGCACCTGTTCAGCTGCGGGAAAGAGGGGGGATGGGGGTAGGAGTGCAGATGCGGGGCGACGGGCGGCAGCCCGAAGATGACGCTGCGGGGCGACGGGCGGCGGCCCGACGAGAAGCTGCAGGGCGACGGGCGGCAGCCCGTCGAGGAGAAGAAGTGACGAATTGATGAAAACGAGTGTTAGGTTAGAGCGCCGACGATGCGCTTACCAGAGAAGTTTCCGTCGATGGTGACGGGAAGATTTGGCGGGAGAAATTCCGCCGATGAATGTCGCGAATCAACGGCGACGAGATTGGCGATGGCTTCCCCGAGGTTTGCGGGACAAGTATCCGCAGAGATGAGAGGATCACGATCCGCGTATGCGGTTGAGCTGCTCTGATACCATGTCAGAACTTGAGCTTAGAATCGATACTATAGTAGTGAGCTCAAAGCTCTTTAAGTACATCCGAAATGAGCAAGGTAGGGATGAGGAGGGAATCAGGAGGCAATCCTAGGGAATCAAGGGTAATCCCAAGGCAATCTCCAATTGGTGGGTTGGAGATTGCTTGGAGATTACATTTGGGTTTGGTTGGGATGTGGGTGTACACCCAACCAAACACAAAGTGCAAACTACACTAAACTAGGATATAAAAGTACAAGTACAAAATGTGAGATTGGGGCCTAACACCAACACCGAGTGCAGACGCAAAACAGGGAAGTCAGAGCCAAAGCTCCTCCGAAGCTGGAGACGAGCTGCGCGGATCCAGTCGATCAACACCTCAGTGACCTCACCCTTGCTGCGCAAGGGGAAGACTGTGGTGTAACGCGAGTAGTCGTCAACCACCAGCAGGAAGTAGCGCTCCTGACCCTGGCCACGGACGCGGGCTGGGCCCCACACGTCCATGTGAAGCGTCTGCAACGGGGCCTCTGTCGGAGGAAACTGGGAGGAGTGAGGGGCAGCACGCTGGCGCCCCTCGACACAGGGGACACAGGCAGGGCCAGGGCCCGGAGGGAGGGGAGGGAGGGACCGGGGAAGACCAGACACAAGGACTCGCGAGTCCATGCCTCTGAGCCGAAGCAGAGAGGGGTGGCCAAGGCGGTGGTGCCAGAGGAGGGTCTCGTGAGACAGACGACGACACGAACAGGGGGCAGACTCAGGACCAGACCTGGACGCTGCAGCAAACACCTGACCAGACGAAGGGACCCTACCAGACGAAGTACCTGGAGGAGAAGCAGTGGTCAGTGTGTACAGGCTCGACCCTGGCCGACGTGTAAACGTAGCCAGGTGGCGACCTGTATCCGCCTCCGTGCAGTGGGTCACCCGCTGACGAGCAGGGGTGAACTGGTGGACACCCGCATCCTGAAGGTCAGCACCACTCACCAAGTTCGTCGAGAACGAGGGGAGGTAGAGACCAGTCAGGGTGCCAGAGGGGGCCGCCGGACACGGGAGGACAGTGGAGAAGCGAGACAGGACAGGCCCCCCAGAGGGGTCAGCCACGGACACCGCAACAGGCCGACTCAGCGGTGTGAGAGTGGTGCGGTCCCTAAAGAAGGAGCGAGACGCTCCAGAGTCAAGGGTGAAGGTGTGAGAGGCCGAAGCCGACACAGTACCTGAGAGGGCGGACTCACCAGTACCTGAGAGCACAGACGCACTGGCACCTAGAGCAGCAGCCTCACTAGTACCTGACGCGGCAGTACCAATGCCCGGGTCGGGCGGGAAACACCGGTAACAGTCATCCTCATCACTACCAGTCACAGCATACATAGCAGAGAGAATAGCATCAAAGTCAAGATCATAAATAGCTACACCAGCCCTAGACAGCTCTCCCCAGCGGGGGATCTCAGCGGCCTCCGGAAACTGCTGACGCCAGGCGTCGGTCAGGCGGCCAAAGCAGCGACGGGCTGTGTGGGCGCCTCCACACCTCTCCCCTGCACGGTCACCAGTGCGAAGAACGTAGGGGCAGGGACCAAGCGCACCACCGCGCTGACGCTGCAAGTACCACTCACGGAGCTGCTGAGGGCCGGGGACGGTGCGAGAGCGCTGCTGCTGCTGCGGCTGCTGCTGCTGCTGCTGCTGCTGCTGCTGCTGCTGCTGCTGCTGCTGGCGCTGACCACCCCCAGAGCTGCTCCGCTGGGACGAGCCACTCCGACCCCCGCCTCCACCGCCACCCCCGCCTCCACCGCCACCCCCGTCTCCACCGCCACCTCCCCCACCAGGACCCTCGCTCCCACCGCTCCCACCGCCTCCTCCGCTACCACCTCCGCCGCCACCTCCGCCTCCACCGCCGCCACTAGTACCTCCACTCCCGCCACCACCCCCACCGCCACCCCCACTCCCCCCTCCACCCCCACCGCCTCCTCCACCGCCCCCTCTAGCTCCACCCGCTCCCTTGCCCCCCTTGCCCTTGCCAGAGCGGCGTCTGCCGCTGGGGGCAGACGCCGCGCCGACCGACTCAAAACCAGCGAGGTCGGCCGCAGCGGCAGAGGCGACAGAGGGCAGCAGGGGGGAAGGACCACACCCCTCAAAGATGGGGGTGCGAGGGTCACCCCGAGAGGCCCCTACAGCGACAATACTCTTCTCAGCCGCTAGCAGGGACTCCTCAAGGAGGTCGACAGTGAGAGTGGTGGGACAGACAGAGAGAAACTGGTCCCTAACGACACGAAGGGACTCAGGGAGACGGGTGACGAGAAAGTAGAGAGTGATGTACATGGGAGGAGGGTTCGCAGCGCGGAACTCAGCAGGAAGGGCAGCACGGTAGCGGGTGTCACTAGCGCGGAGGTGGGTAACGAGGTCAGCAACAGTGGGAAAGGAAGCGAGGTCAGGGAAGAGAAACGGTAGCATGAGGCGGCTAAGGGTAGCGGAGGAAGGGGAGGAGTAGCGTGCAACTACAGCGTCGTACAAGGCCTGAGCGGTCTTGCACTGACTAAAGTGGGCACGCTCAGAGGAAGGGAGGTGGCGACGCACAGCAAGACGTGCAGCAGCATCGCGGGTCGCCCACTTGGAGCGAGCAGCAGAGTCAGCATCAGCAGGCGGGGCAGGGACAGCACCAGAGACAAAGTCAAAGAGAGAGACCTCATCTATCGCATCACACAGTAAGTACAGCTGCAGGTCTTCAATCCAGACGGCAAAGTCAATGGCCCTCCCCTCAGCGTCAAAAGTAAGAACATTGGGGGTGGCCATGGCAGCAGCTGAAAGTCTCACCGGGCTAGGAGAGTCGGGTAGGTCAGCAGCAGAGGAACACAGCGCAGGAACAGCAGCACGGCTCCTCAGGTGGCTCGGGCGGCTCGGGCTGCTGGGGCGGCTCGGGCGGCTCGGGCGGCTCGGCTGCTGGGGCGGCTCGGCTGCTGGGGCGGCTCGGGCGGCTCGGGCGGCTCGGCTGCTGGGGCGGCTCGGCTGCTGGGGCGGCTCGGCTGCTGGGAGATGCAGCTGCGGGGCCGTCAGGCGCAGCGGCGGGCCGGCAAGTGCAGTGGCGGGGCCGTCAGGCGAAGCGGCGGGCCGCCGGGTGCAGGGGCGGGCAGGCAGGTGCAGCGGCGGGGCCGGCAGGTGCAGCGGCGGGCCGTCAGGTGAGGCGGCGGGGCCGTCAGGTGAGGTGGCGGGCCAGCAGGCGAGGCGGCGGGCCGTCAGGTGAGGCGGCGGGGCCGTCAGGTGAGGTGGCGGGCCAGTAGGTGAGGCGGCGGGCCGCCAGGTGAGGCGGCGGGGCCGTCAGGTGAGGTGGTGGGCCAGCAGGCGAGGCGGCGGGCCGTCAGGTGATGCGGCGGGCCGGCAGGTGAGGCGGCGGGCCGTCAGGTGAGGCAGCGGGCCGTCAGGTGAGGCGGCGGGCCGGCAGGCACGGCGGCGAGGCCGTTAGGTGAGGCGGCCGGGCCGGCAGATGCGGCGGCGAGGCCGGTAGGGTGCAGCGGCGGGGCCGACAGAGGTGCAGCGGCGGGGCCGGCTGCAGCGACGAGGAGGCCGCGCGGCCGACGTGAGGGCGGCGCGGCGCGGCAGAGCCGAGAGGGCGGTGCGGCGCGGCCGTAAGGCCTGCGCGACGTGGGGCCCGGGCCGCGCGCGCGAAAAAAAAGGAGTCGCGCGCGCGACTCTCGGGGCGCCACAAGGGCAGCGCGACACGCACTAAGGGGGGAGCGCGCCTCGGGGAGAATAGGGCGCGCTCCGGGCAGAAAAAAAAATCGTGGGTGGGCCAAAAAAAAAACGGTCCTTAAGAGGGACCCGCTCTATACCATGAGAAACTGAATGAACAAGAATGTGTGAACTATGAATGAAGGCAGTACAAATATGAAACCCTAACTGGGTTGTACCCCCTATGGGATACCCCACTACAGCCTACACAATAGTATAAGCTATAGATATGTTCTGACAACATACCCCCCTACTGCCCACTTCGTTTTTGTTGAAGGTGCAACTCCCCCCTGCCCGCAATCTCGTTTTTGCATGCATTTGTGGCATTCACTCGCCATAGGAGGAGTATTCTGTGAGTTGTTTGAACTGTTTTTGCTGCCCCTTCAGATTCGGGCTGGTTTAGGTTTCTCCTCCCCACGCGAGCAAGGGCCAAGGCACCCACATTCGTTCAAGGGGACCAAGCAGGCCAGAAAGCACACGAAATGCCATGTGAGTGGGCTGGGCTCACAATCGCTCACCTAACTCCCACTCCCGTTTTTCAGGCCTCGATTCTTATCATCCGCCACTCTATCTCAACTCAACATCCGAGCCTCTCTTCTAGATCGCCCTCCGCCATGGGGCATGGCATCACCATTTCGTAAGCCTGCTTTCTTAGTTGGAGTCACGCTATCGTAGTTTCATTTTTCGTGATTTCATTTGCTTTTTTTTTTTTTTTTTTTTTTTTCAAATCTCGTTTCAATCTCAAGCCATTCTACTCAAGAGCGCAGCCTCTCTTTTGGATTGCCGTCCGCCATGGGCCATGGCATTAGTATTTCGTAAGCCCGCTTTCTTACTCACGCTATCTTCAGTCTTGTTTCCCGTAATTTCGTTTTCTTCGTAGATTCCCTCTTCTTAGCTCCGTTTGTTCCGATTTCTGCTTGTCCTTGTTCCTGCTGACGTGTGCATGGTCATGGCAGGCACGCTTCAGCCAGCACAAGCTCGTCATCTGCCGTTCCAGGAGCCAGCAGCAATGCGGCATTCCACATCCAAAATCTGCCACCAAACATGGCGAATTCCGTTTAGCTCCGCTTTGGGGCGCCGATGCCACGCCGCTGTCACGCCGATTGCCATGCCGCTGACACGCCAACGACAACAACGGCACTGCTCATGGCGCTCTGGGTGCGCGTGGCGCGGCCCTGGCGGACAGCAGAGGCGCATGGCGCGGCTCTGGCGGATAGCAGAGCCGGTGCCAGTGCAGCCTCCATGCGCCTCCAGGCGCTCAAATCACAACGTGTCTCCAGGTACAAGAAAAAGACTAAACACAACTGAAACATGAGAGCATGACAAAAACAAAGAAGCATGTATATAAAAAACAATAAGATCCAATATTGATATTATTGGGAAAACAATTCGCCCTTTCCCCAAACCACTTATATCCTGCCTGATGCTTCGTCATCCCCTGCTAGGTGCCTTGAGACAATGAAAGGAGTGGAGTTTTTCAATTGAAAGGAAAGAAACATCAAATTCTGTTTTCCCATATTATTATTACGTGCCCCATTCATTTCCCCACCGAACTTACCCTGCCCATTCTCTCTCCCCCCTCCTCTTACTCTGAACCCGAAACCCTACAACCAGGCTACCCCTTCCAGCATGAGCCACTGCAGCACGTGGTGTTGATGGCGCATGGGGTGGGTCGGCCACCCCATGGACGCCGGCTCAGCCCTCCACACGGGCAGCTCAGCCCTCCACGCGGGCAGCTCAGCCCTCCACGCGGGCGGCTCAGCCCTCCACGTGGGCGGCTCAGCCCTCCACGCGGGCAGCTCAGCCTTCCACGGGGGCGGCTCAGCCCTCCACGCGCCGCTGTCGAGCACCTCGCCTCCTCGCCTCGCCGCCCCATGGTGAGAGAAGAACGGAAACAACGGCTCAAGAAACAACCAAAACAAGAACTAAGAACAGAAACAAGAACATACAAGAACTAAACATAGTATCATTCATATGATACCCTCAACCCCTCTTGAGACATGTTACCCATCCCCTTGTCTCTCCCCTCTGTTTTGAGTCATGTGACCCATCCCCTCCTCTCTCTCCTTTGTTTTTAGTCATGTTACCCACCCCCTCAACTCCCCTCCCCTTCCCTCCCTCCCCCTGTTTCAGCAGCTGCCAGAGCAGCGCGTGGTGTGACGGATGGTGCAGCACGGAGTGGGGGTGCAGGGCATAATTTTGTGAGGTGTTTCACTCACCCCCTCCCCTCTGTCATCCCCTTTCCAGCAGGTGCCAGTGCTGTGCATGTTGTTTTGCAGTGTGTCACACACCTACTCCTCTCTGTCCTCCCCTTTCCAGCAGGTACCAGTGCTGCGCATGTTTTGCGGTGTGTCACACACCTCCTCCTCTCTGTCCTCCCCTTTCCAGTAGGTGCCATTGCTGCGCATGTTGATTTGCAGTGTGTCACTCACCCTCTCTTCTCTTTCCTCCCCTTTCCAGCAGGTGCCAGTGCTGCGCATGTTGATTTAAGGTGTGTCACTCATCCCCTCTTCTCTTTCCTCCCCTTTCCAGCAGGTGCGAGTGCAGGGCATAATGTTCCGAGGTGTCTCACTCACCCCCTCCCATCTGTCCTCCCCTTTCCAGCAGGTGGCAGTGCAGGGCATAATATTTTGAGATGTGTCACTCATCCCCTCCTCTCCTTCCTCCCCATATTTCCAGTTTGTTTGTTTTAGTTTGATTGCTTGCTTGTTCATGTTCATGTGTGCATTCTTTGCTTAAGGGGCAGTAAGGGGGCATGGGGAATGTTGAGACATCCAGGCCACCCTCTCCCCTCCCCTTTCTGCCAGGTACCAGTGCAGCGCTTGCCTATTTGAGCATGTCTCACCCACCCCCTCCCCTCTTTCCCCACTTCCCCCCTTCTGCCAGGTGCCTTCCCATGCCCTGCATGGTGCCTTCTCATGCCCTGCCCGGTAAATTCTCATGCCCTGCATGGTGCCTTGGCATGCCCTGCCAGGTGCATTCGCATTCCCTGCATGGTGCCTTCTCATTTCCTGCCAGGTAAGGGGGTAAGGGGGTTTAGGGTGCTCCCCCCGCTCACTTGCCCTGCCCCCCCCGCTCACTTGCTCTGCTCCCCCACCCCAACTCCTCCCCTGCCCTTGTGCAGGTGCCAGTTTCTCCTGTCGCCAAGATGAAGATACTTTGCACAGGGAGCAGATGCGTTGCCAGCTGCTTGTGTGCCCGTCCCTGATCATCCATGCGCGGGACATGAGAGAGGACAAGGGAGAGAAACAGAAGCAGGAGGGAGCGCAGCGCCATGCCATGCTGCATGCCCCACCAAACCAGCCGCATGTGCGTTGTGAGTCGCCTCAGAGCATGCACTGCACACCTTGCCATATCCCTCACACCTGCCATCCCACCATGCCCTCACACCTCCTGCCATCCCCTCACTTGGTCTGCTCCCCCCGCTCACTTGCTCCGCTCCCCCTCTCCCCCACCCCAACTCCCCCCCTCCCCTTGCGCAGGTGCCAGCTTCTCCTGTCGCCAAGATGAAGACACTTGGCTTGCGATGTGCAGAGTGGTAGGAGGGATGAATCTGATCACGTTAAGAACATAAATGTATGTGCCTGTTGTTATACATGCAGTGGGAGGGGGGGGGGGGGGGAGTGCAGGTTTGGTTTGGGCCAGGTTTGGGATATGAAAGATTGGCAGAAACGGAAACAGGGAGTAGATGTGTTGCCACCTGCTTGTGTTCAGCCATGCGCAGGGCAGGACATGAGGGAGAAGAAGAGAGAGAAACAGACTCATAAGGAGGGAGCGCATATGCCATTTTCTCCTGTCGACAACATGAGGCTATTTGCTACGACGCGTAGAGTGATAGATGACTTATAGATTTGATGACCTAGCGAATATGTGCTTGTTATTATATACGCAGGCGGGCAGAGAAAGCGGGGAGGGGTGAGGGAAAAGGGAGGGGAGTGGGGAGCAGAAGCAGAACAGAAGAGGGAGTGGTGGATGAGCTCCTGGCTCTCTGTGCTGTGCGCCCCTCCCTGGTTGGCCATGTCATGTCATGCCATGCCATGCCATGCCATACCATGCCATGCCATACCATTCCCGGGAGGGATATGATAGATAGGAAGCACAAAGTAGAAGCAGGAGCAGGAATGTGATATGACAGGGAGCAGATATGCATGGGCCATGCCCAGGGATTTCTAGGGTGGTTCGAGGGGGGCTGTGAGGGGCTGTGAGGAGAATTAGGGGGTAGGGGGGCCTTAGGGGGGCCTTGGGGGGGCTGTGGAGGGGTTTTTTCAGGATTTTATGGGGGTTTTCCCCTCTCTTGTACCCCATCTCTGCTTATTAATCAATCACAAACAAGTTTTCTGCCATCACCCTTCCGATTACGCTCATGTTGTCGCCTTTCCGCCTGAGGGAGGGGGAGGGGAGTAAGGGGGGAAGGGAGAGGAGGGCAGAAGGGAGAGCAAGGGGGAATGAGAGAGAGGATATGCGCTGCTTGTTTTGATTTGCACAGTGAAGGAGAGTGTGAGAAGGAGAGTGAGAGAAGGAGGGTGTGAGAAGGAGAGTGTGAGAAGGAGTG